AAAAAAAAAATGAGAGTTTGGGATTTACTTTTCTAAAATTTTAAGCCCCGTTCATTTCACCAATTCGAGTTTTATTACAATAAAAAGCTCTTAGAAGCAGTCACATCTAACTTATTTGTGACAGTAAAAAGCTCACATAAAGTCACATCTAAACTCGAATTAAAAATTAGAATCAACAAACTAAACGGGTTCTTAATAAGGAATTTCATGGTAAGAACTACTATTTTACCTTAGTGATGAAATTATTTTTTAGTTGTTCAATTAAGGCTCGTTTAGTTCGTTGATTTGAGTTTTTAATTCGAGTTGAGATGTGACTTTATGTGAGAGTTTTTTTACTATAGCAAAAAAGTTAGATGTGACTGTTTATGAGAGTTTTTTACTATAGCAAAACTCGAATCGGAATCGGTAAAATGAACGGGGTCAGTTTTTCAATGGGTAGATTTATAAGAAAAACTAGCTCATAGTTCTTCGCAAGCTAAAATAACTATTCCTATGGTGAGGGATATTCTAAAAATCCGTTAAACCGTCAAAACCATCATATACAAGTTGAGCCGAAAAAAATCGTAAATTATTTTTGAATTATTAAGTGGTCTGGTTAGAGGATTGGACTGTCCAAATCATCTAAAAATACACCTATATATATTTTTATTTTTAAATATTTTTTATTAATATTATTTTTTGGGGATTTTTTATAAAATCAAAAAAATAAATTATTAATAATTTTTTATTTTTTAATTATCATATTTATATTTAAAATTATTTATTTTATATAATTTGTTAATCTAATATGATTTTAATCGACATAAACTAATACTACCATAAAGTATACCGGAGAAAATTCCTATTTTCTATCGGTCAAAATTCCAAAAATATTAAAACGTGCCCCACCACATTGATTATGTAGCATTCTAGCTTATTTGTCTGACGTCCTTTTGTTATCATCGATCTAAAAGTATTTGGAGTATGAAGGAAACCCACCAAAAACTCGATCTCTCTCCTCAGTGAAGTCGTCACTGCGCCACGTCGCCGTCGCCGTCGCCGTCGCCGTCGCTTCCACCTCTCAGCAACACGCAGCAAAACCTTCTCGCAGTATCTCTGGACTCTAGTAATCTCCCTCTCTATTTCTTTCCTTCTTTCTTCCTTCCTTTTATTGATATATATTTTTTTTTCCGTCTCATTTTGCTGAACTCAAGTACAGTTTTTGTAACGCTTGTAGACTTGAAATACTAAAAATAATGTTAGTAATATGATATACATTACCATATAGTTGAACTATTGGTGCACATCAAACGGAGAGATACATGTGTTATAATTTTATATAGGCTGGAACTATGATGTACCAAATAGTGAAAGCTACATTGATAGTGCTTATAACTTGATGGACACGGAGGAAAAATTGTTTTAATTACTACTAAGTTTTTGCTATCAGGTGTTTGGTGAAATTCCCAGGAAAGTGTTTTTGTATTGCCTATCAGGTGTTTGTTGAAATTCTTAGGAAAGTGTTATTCGTTCTAATGCTGATTTCGTTGCTTTTGCTTATTAGAAGAAGTGATTGTTAGCATTGTGCTTACTAAAAGTAACTGTTTTCTGTGACTTTATTACTTTGTGCTCGAATCCAAGTTCAAAATTTGGTTGTGTTGTTTTTTGTTATTTAGATGTACTTGTGATCTTTTGATTTTATTTTATTTTTAAATTTGGTGGTTGGTTTGTATTAAGACTTGTTGGTTGGTGAACTTTGGACATGAACAAAATTTGGTTGGTGAGCTTTGGTTTGTGTACTTATGACTTTTTAATATGGTTGTTGGTATGTATTAATACTTTGAATGGTGAACTTTTAGACATTTATGTTTGAATTGAATTGTAAACTTTGAATATGTGTGTGTGTTTCTTTTTTATTTTTTATTTTTTTAATTTTTTAATATTTTAATGAATGAACATCTTTATAATTTCTCTTAAGTATTGAAAACATTTTTAGTCTTAAGTCTAAGCCACCCAAACTGGTATGAGTGATTGGGTTTGATTTGGTTTTTGTCAAATATATCAAACCACCCAAGAAGAGATTTTATTTTTAATTTAGTCGGCGGTTTAAAGAAAAAAACTGCCCAAACCGGCTGCGACCCCTAAGTACTACTTTTATTTAGGGTACTCTCAGAAATCAGAAAGCAGGAATAAAGAGATTTGTGGAGGCAAATGGAGAACGGAACCCTTGGAAGTATAAATCTCAGTGGTGGTGGTGAGCCGGAGGTGGTTGATCTGAGTGGGAAGATTCACCTTCTGCCTTGCTCCATCAAGTTCGATGGCCCTTGCTCTGTTTCTCACTATTTTAGACCCAAACCCACTGGTAAAACCCGCCACCATTATTTTTCATTTAATTTACTTGTGTATTTTCTTTTATTTTGAGTAATTTGTTATTGTGTTTTGATGGTTAAAAGAGATGGAAGTTGAGGGACTAAGAGTGGACGAAGCTCATTTCAGAGGAAGGAAGCTGCAAGGGACCACCATTTCTCTTCCGGAAGCCTATTCTGGTTTGTAATTTTCCTTTTTTACTGTGACTTATGTGAAATACCTAATGAAAGCCTTAAGTTCGAGATACCTCTTTGTACTTTTGTTTTATTGTAAATTTGATAGAGCATATCTGGACCGAAATAAAGAAGACATTAATTTGTTTAGAATGTTACAAGAAAGTGCAGTCTATTTGGAAATGGAGAACCGGAAAAGATTAATGACCAGACCAGCAAAACAGATGGTTTATGATTGAAAGCAGGAAGAGAAGAAAATGCTTTACATTTGGTTAAGATGGTTTTTGAGTGTTTGTGTTGGGTAAGAAATCTCAAGAGGATTTGTGAAGGTGAAAGAAATGAAGTTGAACTGTTTTTCAATCTCAGTCGGAGTTTCTTACATGTAAGGCGTGCAAAAGTGAATTAGTAGTAGTTGGAATAGTTTACGAGTTCTCTTGTGTTGGCGGTTAGAAAAATTTTCATTTTTAGATTAGCTTTTGATGCTGGTATAGGCATTTTAGTAAAATTTTTGATACTGATTTAGCTAGTGGTGTATTTATGTGTTTAGGGTAGGGCGTAGTGCCCTTGACAACAGTGGTGGTGGCGACATTGGTGATTCAGCACTGGTAGAATGAAACAACAGTGGCAGGGGCAATGCAGGTGGTGTGGAAGCAACCATAACAATGGTAGAACCGATAAATTTGATGTAGACGTGGCATCCATAACTATTAGTAACAGTACTTATAGCTAAAGTGCTGTTGGTCAATGGTTGTCATTGCGATGATGGTGATGGTACTGGTTGTGATGATGATATGGAATGTTGTTGTTCAGGTGCACCTGTGGGTGATTTTGCTTGAAAAGAATTAGAAATATTGAGAATGAGCATTTTCTGTAGTGTAGTATTACGAACTAAGGCTCTTTGTGGGTGTCTTATGATGGAATCTCAGGCCTTTTGTTTTCCTTAGTTGTGATGGATTTGGAAGAACTTTATATGAACATTTGATTGTTGTACTATTATTTATTTATTCATTCATTCATTCGTTGTTGTGCTTTCAATCTTTATAAGACAGCTTGTTCTAGCATTGTGTCGTTCTTTTCATTCAATTTTTACTAATGTTTTTATGTTCTTCATGAAAAGCAGTGCTGAACAATTTCTTGCTCATCCTCTGCAGGACTTGTCCTGGGAAAGAAAGGTCTTGGGAAGAGAAAAGCTTCCAATATGTCTGAAGGGAACAAAAACTGTTGGGAGATGAATGCAAAGTTTAGGAACATAACATATTGGAAACACGACAGCCTTCCGTCACAGCATGACCCTTTCCTGCGTTCTTTTCACTGGTTTGCTGTGGCAAAAGCTGTAAGTCTCTGCCCATAATTCCACATAATGTCCAGTAATCTGAATTGATTGATGTGTTTGTATAAACTGATCTTCAACAAGGAAAATAGAAAAACAAATCAGAAAATCTGTACATTTGGATAAATACAATCCATATCTATACACGTATGGGGGCACATATAGTCTGCCAAATTCAACGTAACAGCAAAATATATGTCACAGTAAGGCTGTAGTTAGCACGGTTAGAACTTCGTCAGTGTTCTTCCGATACTCATATAATATGGCTGTACAAGAACTTGAACGAACTTAAAATCTGTTACTCAAGTCTTGATGACATAGAGCATGTTTGAACGCAGTGCTTGGACTTTCATAATAAGATAGGTTGAACAGAATTCACTACTGTGAGATAATTATTGTTGATTGTTTTCTTTCACATTCATTTCGCAGGTGTTACAGGAAAAAAAAAAAGAATTGATTATTTTTTTTTCTTTTAAGGGTGACAACAGTTCGTTTCTGCTCACTCGAGTTCTTTTCTGTGGCTGCAGATGCATCAGCCTGTTGAAGCTGAAGAGTTGGTTTCTGCTTCTATTGCACTGGAGAAGATGAAGTAAGAACTATGGTCAGATTACTTTGCTTTGTAGTAGAATACTAGATACTAAATGGTTGCACAAGAAATGCTATAATAGATGAGTTAAATTTAATAAATCTCTCGCTCTCGCTCCCTCTCCTCGGGAAACACATGAATTTGCATGCATGCAGGCAATGTAGCATCCTGTTTGGGCACAAATGTAAAGATTACAAGTAGGTTATGACAATAGAGCCCAAGTTGGTTATTTTCCACAATGAAAATAACCCTCAGGAGAGTCATTTAACTAAAAACTGATCATTCTGGTCGAGCTGAAAATCAACTTTATACATTCAAGAGAAAACTGTTGAACTTACCCCTAGAGTGCTTAGGTTTGGATTTTACCTTTATTCTTGATTAATATGACTAATATAGATATTTGACTCAAAATGATATTAATAAAGAGTAACGGGTAAAAATTCAGACTCATACACTTTAAGAGTATTTGTCTCCTTTCTCTACCTTCGATGAACCTATAAAAAATAACAGAACCTAAGAGAACACGGATTATGAAAGACCAATCCATCATATCAAAAGCTTTGTAAGTATCGATTTTGATAGTCATGCTACCACCAAATGATATTTTATTCAAGACATTAACACCTTCAGAGGCAATGACAATGCAATCCTAAATAAAACGACCCAAAATGAACCCAAACTGAATATGAGACATAATGCGATCTGCTATAACATCAAGTCCATCTGCTCAAATTATTAGAATAATTTAACGAACAACATATTTAGCGATAAAGTCTCGTTGTTAATATGTCTTCGTGACAACCAATTGCCTGTCTGTACTAAAGACCTCATCGATATCGCCCCTAAATGGTGGCTAAGGTCCAACAATGTTATTAGTGAGGTCGCTAATTAATTAAAGTTTATGTTTATAGACGACATTTGAGCTAATCTCCATTAATCTTTTTTTTTAGGATAATTAAGTTCGATGTTTTAAATCTTAACTCTGATCTAATGCGTTGATAAAGGAGAGATTTGTAACCAAAATTTATTTTTCAGGTATTGAGTTATATTTTCTGAAAATACAACGTATTAATTTGAATTATTATTATTAGTGCCCTGAACTTTAAGGTCATTCTCAGTTTGTTCTCTGCATTTTAAAACTTCTCACTTTGTCTTTGAACTCTGAATTGCTCCCACTTAACCTATTATGTTGTAATTTCTATTAAAAATTGATAGAAACAAGAGAATAATGAAGTCACGTGGTTTTTCTGTTTGAATTTTTATTTTAAAAAATAGATAAAAATTACACGACCGTACTTAATTCCCTCTATTTTGGTCTGATTTCAGTAGAAATTACAATAAAAAGAGGCTAAATGTGAACAATTTAAAATTTAAGGGGTAAAGTGAAAATTTTTAAAATTTAAGAATAAATTTTAAATAACTCTAAAATTTAAGAGTATCAGTAAAAATATTCTTATTAAATTTTTTTTTTGAAAAGAATAGAGTGCAAGATTTTGTAACTCTTCCCATCTGAATGCACGACACTATCGTATAACTACGTATACGAGTGTTTACCAATATTATATTTATATGCACATAAAGTTGAATTGAAAGCTTCCCATTTGAAAAAAAAAAAAAAGAAGAAAAAAAGAAAAAGGTTCGGAACTTTTTGCTGATAGCTGAAGATCGAAACACAACAAAAACATGATAGGATTTTCCAGTTACTTTTTGTAGAAATCTTTCTGTACCGTTCTTTGCTTGACAGACATTCTCAAGTAACGTGAGTTTTCACCTCGTTGGATTCCACTTTCCCTCTGCTTTTGTAAAATTGAAGGACCGTTCATATGAGAATTTTTTACTGTAATAAAAAAATTAAATGTGACTATTTTTAAAAAATTTTTATTGAAACTCAAATTCTAAATTTAAATCGATAAAATGAACGGAACCTAAGTTTCTTATGGCGGCTGCTCTTCATCAATTTCCTAGCAAATATTTCTTACTAATTAAAATAACAAACCAATATTCAATTATCACGGCTAGATTTCAAGATTCGAGACTGTACATTTATATTAATTTCTGGCCAGGGAATTAAGAATAAACACTGAATCATATATAACTTTCATGTAAAAAGGGATCGTTTTCCGATCCATTCTTCATTTGAAACGAATTTGGTTCCACTTTAGATCCGACTGAAAAAGCATATAATACGTGTAAAAGATGCGGGTGCATGTAATATCCAACTTTTTAGCAATTTATTATTACTTTAATTGAGCTACTTTTGTCGACTTTTTGCCGACCATATATACAGGATTGTCAACTTATTGTAAACTAGCCGTTAATATTTTAATAGAATCTATGTGTACGAAATTACAAAAAGGTGAGGATATCGATTAAAGAGTTATAAACTTAAATTTCGTTTATTTTATCGATTTGAGTTTAAAATTTAAATTTTATTATAGTAAAATTTTTTTAAAAACAGTCACATTTAATTTTTTTATTACAATAAAAAGTTATAACATAAAGTTACATCTCAACTTAAATTAAAAATTCGAATCAGCAAACTAAACAGACTTTTAAAGTCAGAATTATTTAATTTTTTAGTTATCTTATTTGACCATTAAACTATATCATAATTAAACAAGGTTTTGATGTGATTTAGACACCATATGGTATTTTGAGTATTCCCTTAAAAATAAGACAAAATTTTACATTTGGATGTAATACATAAGAGATTTTTTTTTAATTAACCTTGTACATTTCTCGTTGACTTTTTAATTGGACTACAGTTTGTTTGTTTCTAGAAAATTTTCAGTGCTTAAGATTCTGTTCATTTCACCAATTTGTATTTAAAATTTAAATTTTGTAACACTAAATAGCTCTCAGAAACAGTCACATTTAATTTTTTTACAATAGTAAAAACTCTCACATAAAACCGTATATCAATTTAAATTAAAAACTCAAATTAGAATCATCATTGTATATATCCTTGTATGTTTTTAGCCACCAATTGAGTTAACCCATCTTTCTGCGTTTTCCTCTGTTCTTGTTTAAATTAGTCGAACAACACGTGGTGACTGGATTTCTCTATATAAATTAATCCTTATTTTTCCAGACCGTTCGTATTTTTGTTTACCAAGTCACCATCCAAATGGCTAGGGAATCAAAAATGGAATATAAAAAGGCTGAAAATAAAGTCATATGTATAAAGCGCAAAACACGCCCACAAATTAAAGAATGAATTCTTGTATATACACATATACATATATATGTGAGAACTTTTTACTGTAATAAAAAAGTTAGACGTGATTATTTTTGAGAATTTTTTTTATTATAAAACTCGAATTTTAAACTCAAATCGGTGAAATAAACATGACATATATTATGTATGTCCACGTGTGTACATGCATATCCAAATTCTAACCTAGCCTTTTATTTTGGTAAGCTCGAATTTATTTTGGATAATCCTTTTCCCCAACCATATCAATCAAAGAGGGCCGATTCTTTACTTCATGATGGAAAATATTGCACAAAAAGATAGAAACCATATTTGACCATTAAACTATATCATAATTAAACAAGGTTTTGATGTGATTTAGACACCATATGGTATTTTGAGTATTCCCTTAAAAATAAGACAAAATTTTACATTTGGATGTAATACATAAGAGATTTTTTTTTAATTAACCTTGTACATTTCTCGTTGACTTTTTAATTGGACTACAGTTTGTTTGTTTCTAGAAAATTTTCAGTGCTTAAGATTCTGTTCATTTCACCAATTTGTATTTAAAATTTAAATTTTATAATACTAAATAGCTTTCAGAAACAGTCACATTTAATTTTTTTACAACAGTAAAAACTCTCACATAAAGCCGTATATCAATTTAAATTAAAAACTCAAATTAGAATCATCATTGTATATATCCTTGTATGTTTTTAGCCACCAATTGAGTTAACCCATCTTTCTGCGTTTTCCTCTGTTCTTGTTTAAATTAGTCGAACAACACGTGGTGACTGGATTTCTCTATATAAATTAATCCTTATTTTTCCAGACCGTTCGTATTTTTGTTTACCAAGTCACCATCCAAATGGCTAGGGAATCAAAAATGGAATATAAAAAGGCTGAAAATAAAGTCATATGTATAAAGCGCAAAACACGCCCACAAATTAAAGAATGAATTCTTGTATATACACATATACATATATATGTGAGAATTTTTTACTGTAATAAAAAAGTTAGACGTGATTATTTTTTAGAGTTTTTTTTATTATAAAACTCGAATTTTAAACTCGAATCGGTGAAATAAACATGACATATATTATGTATGTCCACGTGTGTACATGCATATCCAAATTCTAACCTAGCCTTTTATTTTGGTAAGCTCGAATTTATTTTGGATAATCCTTTTCCCCAACCATATCAATCAAAGAGGGCCGATTCTTTACTTCATGATGGAAAATATTGCACAAAAAGATAGAAACCACTTTGCTGATGATTCATTCCTTCATTTTTTGTTTTTACGAATTTGAATGTTTGTAAAATGGTCCAGTTAATAATATTCTTGTTCCTTTTACAAGGCCAGAAAGGTATAACATTCCTTTAATCAATTCCAAATTAAAGCATCCCACTTGATTCCTTTTGCTTTTAGTAAAAACCATTGTCTTTTCTTTCTGTGGATATATGGAAGACGATATATATATACATAAGAGGTCCATAACTCCAGCATAAGATACACACACTTTAGTCCTTCCAAAAACAAGAAGAAGAAGAAGCATTTTTTTCTTTTTTTTTTTGGTGAAAAGAAGGCATTTGAAAAATTCTTTGTTTATTATTTAGTATTATTTTCAAATGGCTAGCAAAGCTCATCACGATTCCGATCGAACCGAGATAGGCGGAGATGTAACACTTTTGCTCTCTGTTTTTTCTGTTCTTCTTCTTCTTAATTATTAGAAAAAACATTAGACCATAACGCACATTTTATGACAAATAATTTGTATCTTTTTTTTTTTTTTTTTTTTTTGAAGTTGCTATATATAATATTAACTTAATGTCGTTTTTTTTTTTTTTTTTTTCTTGCCTTACAGAATGGAACAATTGTTTTCTATCCACGCGCCCTTAACATTGTTTGGGGTGCTGACACTCGCTACTGGCGTCTCCCGGAGAAACAAACTGACAGAGAAAAGTAAGGCCATCCAATTTAGTTTTTTTCAAAATTACGATATTTTCCTTCACAAAAGATTTGATAAAATTGTTATTGCGTGCAATCAGAATGAATTTTCAACTTAATTTGGGTATTTTCAAAGTTTCATTTTCTTTTGTTATTTTTTGGTTGGGAAACCTCTGATATATTTCTAGGTTTTCTTAAAGCTTGATGCAAATGCAATCCGATTTTTATTCAAGTAACAACAACAACAAATTCCACTTTTTTTTTTTTTTGGAAGTAATAAATTCAACATTTTACTTGAACTGTATACGGTCAAGTCATACTTTAGCTGTTCATATTGAAAATTTAATAGATAATTTAAGTTCATAGGTTTTAGGGGGAAAACGTTAGAAATCGATTTAATATAGCATCTTTAAAAAAAAATTTAGCTAATTTCATTTGTTTTTATTAAGTTTAAGAAAATTACATATTCTACCTCTTTAAGTATTTGACTTATTAAAAATACTGCTTTTAAAAAATTATACCCCTTAGATAAGTCCTAGTTCAGAGAGTAAAAAAATACGGACTAGTAAAAATAAAAAAATAAAAAAAGAACTCTATTTTAAGGAGTATTTTTAAAAATTACCTTTTCAATTTTTTTTAATCAAGTTCATTGTTGCAACAAAAATAAGTTTTTGGGCCGTCCTCCAACGAAAAACACTAACGATTAAATAAAGAATTACAGCAATTCTTCTTGATCTGATGGTAACGAAAAACAGTACGTACTAAATGACGGTAATCTGATAATATATAATTATAAAAAAAAAAATTTAATTAATACATATGACTACTTCTGGTGAATATATATATAACTTTGAAAATAAAAATAAACTTTTTATATTTTTGAAATTAATTACAGGACCCGGCCCGCAGAGCTGATACAAGTTTCTTGGCTGGAGGTAACTGGCACAACTGATCCGCTAAATGAAGAAAAAAGTTACAAAATTTCGTTCGAGTTATCCCTCAAGCCAGACGCCTTTGGTTGGAACGGTTGCCAACTTTACTTAATGGCCAAGTTAGGGCGAAGAGGAAGGTACAAATGGACAAAAGTTACATTCAAGGACCAACCCAATAATCGGCCCTTTACAGTTCCTGCAGAGGATTTTGTGATCAAGGTTCCGCCGAGCACCGACGCGGAGGATCGAAAGCTCTATTTCGGTCTCTACGAAGTGTGGAGCGGAAAATGGAAGGGAGGTTTAGAGATTCACAAGGCAGAGGTTGCTGAAGTGGCTGCTGGAAAGAGCTGAATGAGGTCAAGTAATTGCATGTATTTTCTTGTGTGTGTTTCTTATTGTAACTCCGCCTATGCCGGTGTGCGCTCGCATTGCCCCGGGCAATGTGATCACTAGTACTTTGTAATAAAATCAACATTGTTATAATGAGATCGCAAGCAACTTCTTTGGCTTGCACATGATTGAAATATATATATTATATGTCGTATGAAACAAATGAATAAATATCCAATTTTCAATTATAGGTATATATATGGGACTGCTTTAAACTCATTCCAAAATGATTTTATTTTTTTGTATGAAAATGAAAATGAAAACGTTTTCAATCTTAGACAGAAATCTTTTTTAAAAATGCATTTGGTAGTTTTATCTAGAGATTATTTTCAGTGCAAAAAAAACCCATTAATGTCTCTCTTTCTCTCTCTCTCTGTGCTCGAGAGAAGAGAAAACGAAAATAAAAAATAAAAAACGACTAAAAATTATTTTTTTATTTTTCTCTCATTTTACATTAAACTAAAAAATCATTTTTATTTCCGTTTTTTATCTTTACTGCGCCAAACGCTGTTTTGAGAACGTTTTCAGTTTTCTTTCTCAAAAAACATAAAAAATAAAAACGGGATCAATTCTAAATATTGACATTTGTTTCGATCTTACACACCCTTGAACAATATTATTCTTTTTTCTTTTCCTTTCTGCGCATGTTAATTAATAATGAGGTATGGAATATTGCAGTAATTAATTATAGCGATGGGCAATATTTTAACTGTGAGTTATAGCTATATCAATCGAGAATGTAAAATCGTCAATGCTGGGGGAGCACAAGCTTGAATACCCATCGCGTCCTTGCGCAATATCTTTGGATATGATATGAATCATTCCACTTATAATTGTAAACTACTAATGCTATAATCACTATTTAAAACTCCTGACATTCACAAACCACCATCCCCCTAGAGGAAGTGGAGGTTCCAGCGACGTCCTAGATGTGCAAGATCAAAAACGAGCGTTGTTCGAGACAACGGTGAACCATGCAGTCCGCGACGTCCTAAATGCTAGCATCACTCTTTTTATCACTTTCTAGATTTATTATTTGACACTTAAATTCTATTAAGATGATATATTATTATTTAAATAAAAAATGAGATAATAGAGTTTACGTATCCAATAATAAATATAAAAAAGTGATAAAAAAATGATAAAAAAAAATAATGATAATATTTTTCATAAGTCTAAATTTGTACAACTCTGCTTATAACCCCTATAGAAGTACGCCACTGGTCGTTTTTTTTTTCATTTGTTTTTTTTTTTTTTAAGTTGTCCTTTCAGTTTTAGTTAAAGTAAAACCTTAGGAAAAGACAAATCTGGTCCTATGGACGTTAAATGTTAGATATTAGATTAGATATGTTAGATGGAGCATTACCATATTTAAGTCGCTTCAGGAAAAAAAAAAAAAAAGCATTATAAAGTAAAAACACAAAAATGGAGGAATAAGATATGATTAAAAAAAGGAGAAAAAGATATGAAACTCTACTTGGTTAGTCATGACAGCCCTTTTGTTTTTGGCACCGAAACTGATCGAAGAAAATTATGTGCTTTGTTTTCCATTTTAGTAAAGAATCTCACATCAAATCAAACAATTTTTACTCCAGTAAAACGAGCTTCCGGCCCCATTCTCCCAAACTGAACTGGCAGAGTTCTATGATTGTCTCACCAGGACATATTGTGATGAAGAATTGGTAATCTTCATAGCATATCAACTTTAGTTCTGATTTTCTCACTCAAAACTGTCCATTTACCAACTACGTTCGAGATTTCAAGATGATTTTCTTATTTTCGATAAGTCGGTTTTATTTTTTCGCCTTTAATTTTTGCACTCGCGATCTGGTTCTTATGTCTTGACTTCAAATTTTCAGATGTTTTTGCAGCCCTCATATATTTTCAATTCTCTTCTATACTCTTTCACCTACACATCATAAAACATATAGTGATGCTTAAAAATCGGAAAGAACTCTAAAAACACCAAAAAATCCGCCATATGAAAACCTACTCAATTTATCATATTTGCCATATACATGAATTAAACGTAACTTTATCTCAAAAAATCGGCCAAATGCATAAACCGTTAAATTTAAATTAAGCCACTCAAATTTATCTATTATTTATGTATTATTAAGCGGTTTTTTAACTTAATTTTGTCAGGAAGTTTGCTTTGCGGATTGGACTGCCCAAACAGGCCAAACCAACCACCAAAAACTACCCCTATCTAGGGTTGTAAGATTTCGGTCTAAAACCCGACTAACCCGCCCTACCCGACCCAACCCTACCCAAAATCATGGTTTTTATTTTATTATTTTATTTTTTTTGGATTAAAATAGCCCCAACCCGCACTATGCGGATTGGGGGGTGGGGCGGGCATCATGTGACCTGATATACACCCCGACCCGGCCGTGTGAAGATGGAGGGTCTTAAAAAAAAACCCTAAATCCCTAATCACTTTCACTTCTCAGTCTCTCTCACTTCTCACTCCCTCGCCTCCCCACGCCGCCGCCTCAATTCTCACTTCTCCATTCTCAGTTTTTCTTCTCACTTCTCAGTCTCGCCTCCCTGGTTCCCTCACCTCCCCTCGCCGCCGCCTTATTTCTCACTTCTCAGTTTTCAATTTTTTTTCTCAGTTCTCAGTCTCTCTATCTCCAACTCTCCGTTCCTCTTATTCTTCTCACAGTTGATGTCTGCCGCCTCCGCTTCTTCTTCTTCTTCTCTGTTATTATATGGTAATTCAAGACGAAACAGAGAAGAAGAAAAAGCCTTCTTGAGAGGCCAAGTCTTTGCGGAGATGCCCATGGCAAGATTTTTCGGTGGTGCTTCTCCTACTACACCTTTCTGGTTCACCCCCAGAAGGTGCTTACTTTGCTTTCAATGTGTCATTGCTTGATTCTTTTGCTGTCTTTATTCGTGGGTTTTTGTTTGTTATCCTTTTTGGTTGCTATGAAATTATGGGGAAAGAAATAAGTTTATATATATATATATTGGTTTATTGGGATCTTTTGTATGTTCTCTCAACTGGGTATGGAGAAAATTTGAGATTTCTGGGGAAAGAACTTTGATTTTCTTTGTTTCCTCTGTTTCCACCAAACCGATCAACCCGCAAAACTAAGCTTACCCGAGGTAACCCAAAGGGTTACGGATTTGTGGGCCAATGGGAGTGTTGCAGTCCAAATTTCCCTCATCCGGACCTGTGCGGCTCAGCCCAAATTTCAAGCTCAACTTGAGCCTACCCGGCCAAATTACACCCCTACCCCTATCTATATAAATTTTTATTTTTAAAATAGTTTTGCACCATTCTATTGGAATTGGTCAAGAAGTAAGTTCCAAACTATTATAATGTACCATACCACACTGAATAACTAGCGTATTTGTCTTCTTTTATTTATTTATTTATTTATTTTGTTGGCTCTGATTGTCTTTTTTCCTTTTGTTATCATCTAAGAGAGAAGACTTGCAAGCTCTCGGCTCAGTGAATGTCGAGCCGTTGACCAACCTCTCGCCGCCGTTCGTTCCCACCTCGCCGTCAACGCCACCTCGCCGTTGCTGCGTCCTTGCCGTTCGTTGCCAGCTCTGGTAATCTCATTCTCTTTTTCTTTTTTTTTTCTTTTTTTCTCTCTTATTTTGCTGAACCTCAAGTTTGTAACTGTGTAGACTTGAAATACTGATAATATTAGTAATATGATGTACCAAATTGTTGGATTGTTGGTGCACATCAAACAGAGAGATAAATGCAGTATAATTTTATATGGTTTGGTTATATGATATACCAGATAGTGAAAGATACATTGATAATGTTTAAAACTTGATGGACATGAAGGACAAATGTCTTAATTACCTCTAAGTATTTGCTATCAGGTGTTTGTTGAGATTCTTAGGAAAGTGTTTGTTTATTGCCTATCAGGTGTTTGATAAAATTCCTAGGAAGATGTTGGTTTGTATGAAGACTTTGTTGGTTGGTGAACTTTTTTAGACATGAACAAAATTTGGTTGCTGAACTTTGGTTTTTCTACTTGTGAGTTTTTAATTTGGTTATTGGTATATATTAAAGCTTTGAATAGTGAATTTTTGGACATTTGCTAATTTTGAATTGGATTGTAAACTATGATTGCTATTTATTTATTTCTTTTTTATGAATGAACAAACTTTATAATTTCTTTGAAATATTGAAAACTTTTTTAGTCTCAAGTCCAAACCTTCCAAACCAAACCGCTTAAATCGCTAGTTAGTGATTTGATTTAATTTAGTTTTTGTTAAAAATATTAAACCGTATAAACTGCCTTTTTTTTTTATTTGATTGGTGGTTTCACCCGCCCAAACCGCCTGCGAAGACCCTACTATAAAGGGTCTCTTATATGATCGGCCATTGGCAACGTGCTTTGATACCTTAAATGTTCATTTCTGCCAATCTATGTTCATATTTACCTTTCTTTGAACTATCTTAAAATCTATCTTCGCCGACCCAACTTTAAGGTATAGCTTTTTACCACATACAAAGTAGCAAGTTATAATAATATGTGTAGTTCCTAAAAAAAAAAATATATATATATATATATGTCAAAATTAAAAAGTTAATGTATGTGTAGTTATATCATAAGTCATAACAGGGGAAACTAGCTAAAGGAAGATTCTTTTCCCTCTAGTTCATTACATGGTTTTACTAGCGTATGTTATGAATCAATTTTGGCCATCCAAAGTTTTTAAAATACTACTCAAGAAAGAGAACCCCAAACATTGTGGTCGATCCCTTCACTTTGTTTCTATTCAATTGGAATTAATTACGCAGTATACTCAAAGAAATAGTTGAAATTACACCCAAATTGGTCTGTTATTTACCTAACCCTTTACTTCATCTTTTTCAGAAAGAAAACTTCTTTCATTTAATCATAAGCACCAAAATACTATCATGGACCCATTAGAGAGTCCATAGGATCAAACTAAAAACCTGAATCCCTCCTAATGTGAATTTCATTCTATTACTGATTAGTAAATATGCCATAATTGGCCATGAGAATTTCGACAGCCAAAACCATTGTTTTTACCATTGTCTTTATTAATTTTTCTATTCTTATTATCAGTAATTTGTGCCAAAATTGCTGGGTTGACTGTTGACGAGATGGCGAAGACATGCTATATGTTGTATGCAAAGGATCTTTCAATTATTTGGGGCGATGATTCTCGTTACTGGCGTTGGCTGCTTCCAGAAGGAACGAGGTATCTTTCTATATATATTCTTGTAGTGTATATTCTTGATCACTTCAAATGGTTAAGATAGAATTTATAGCTAACACGTGCAATACGGAAATACCATATCATGAAAATTTATGACACACCAAAAAAAAAAAAAAAAAAACCTTGAAAAAATTATTAATACTTAATTATTTCTCATTTGTTGGGCACCAATAATGATGCAGTTGTCATACCAACAAGATGGCTGAACTAATTAACGTATGTTGGCTAGAAGTGCATGGGAATTTTGATACAACGAAGCTGTCGCATGAAACCTTGTATGAAGTGTCATTTGTTGTAAAGTTGAAATCCAACGCTTCTGGTTGGAACAATCCAATGAATGTTGAACTCACTCTCCCGGACGGAAGCAAGCATGTGAACAAAGTCGATATGTCGAAAAAACCGAGAGAACAATGGTTGGAGATCCCTGCCGGAAAATTTAGAACATTCCCCGGAAATTATGGCGAACTAAAATTCCACATGGGCGAACATGACGACAGATATTGGGAGAGCGGGTTGATCGTCATGGGTGTCCAGATACTGCCAAAGATGATATAGTGATCTTTGATCTGAAAGGAGGAGTGATTTATAAGCGAATGACAGATATTTGGCAAATAATCTGCCTTATATGATTTGGACTTTCAGCTTTACTTTGTTCTATGTTTTTAAACAGAGTAAATTAATGTACATGAATGTCAGAAATAAATATGGAGTGAATTCATATGTATGTGAGAAATAATGCACTGGAGATGATCAGTCTCATAAAAGGTAGTTTAAAAGGATTTCTACCCTTTATTTCACTTCTTATGGAAAGCAAGAGCGTAACAAATATATTTGAGAAGAGTGCTCAAAAACATGTGTCACAATATAAACTTATGTTGCAGTTTCATCATCTTAGATACGAGTCTTTTAATCATAAAAGCTAAGCATAAAAATGTGAAACAGAAAAAACGAATAATAACCTAACAAATAAACAGACACATATCATCATAACAATAAACTCATCCCCGTCAGAGAGGGTTCTAATATTAAAATTTAGAGGTAACATTCTCAATTTGCTTCAAACGTTGACACGCACATGTTGTTCGAAAAAAAACTTGCCGGTATACAGATACGAAGAGCCCGTTCAGTTCGTTGATTTTAGTTTTTAATTCGAGTTAAGATGTAATTTTATATAAGAGTTTTTTACTGTGACAAAAAAATTAAATGTGACTGTTTATAATAACTTTTTACTATAACAAAACTCGAAATTTAAACTCAAATTGATGAAATGAACATGGCCGAAATTACTGAACACGACTTTGACGATGTAAATTTCTGCAAATTTACTGATGGATTCCAGAAAACTATTGTTAGCTTTTCAACGATGGTTTGATTAAACCATCCTCATATGTATTGTCAAGTTAGATTCCAGACATAGCCACGTGTACGCACAAGATGACCCTTCAAACGACGGTCAACGTGCCCTGGATTTGAATTGTGACGACGGGAAATCGGTTGTAAAAAAAAATAAACTCTCAAGATGTAAACTTTTTCATTGGCTTCGTTTGAAAGGGAATTGTTGAGAATGTGGCAAATGAAGTCCCACTAATTTAGACATTGAATGGATTATGGGTTTGAAAGAGTTTGGACTACTCCATTACTGCATATATGAAGACCTATGCTGTTCTTGTTGTACACACAAGAATGGGTTTTTTGAGAATATACATGAAAAAAGTTGTAAAAGTAAATAATTTTAGTTTTATAAAAACTAGCTATATATCATGGAGCAATTTTTTTTTTTTTTTTTTTTTTTGGAAGGGACCTTGACAGCAACTTTTGTAGCAACAGGAATAATAAAAATATAAAAGTAATATCTTATCTTCGAATATATTCAACAGGATATTAAATTTTCAATATGAAAAGAGCTAACACACAAATGTCAGATTGAAAGTGATAAGATGCTTCTCTAACATTATTTTTAGCATTCCTTTTTATGACGAACATATTCCAAAAAGATCATGGGCGGCAGACAATAACAAGTTGAAGGAAAAAGTTTGAACTAACATTTATCTTTGTTACTTTGAAGTTATTTTTCCATAACTAATGCCAATTTTTCTTTACTTCTATGAGTAGGTATGAAAATAATATCCTAGAATTTTGTTTTGAATTGTTAATTAATTTGTATCCTCTTATGTTAGATTTACTTATTCTTTTCGTCTTAATATGATTTTGGCACCTAAGTTTTTATTTTTATTTATACTCTGATCATAACGTTGACAAGGCACGATTATTTAATAAGCTTGGCCAAACACGATTATTAAAGAGAGAAAACTAAAAATGCCATCATTGAAGTAACACTATTTTATTTATGCCACTGCTGTAAATTTATCTTATGCCACTAATAACTTACATGTTATTTTTTTCATAAACTGCAGGATATTTTTTGGAACTCAAAAAACCAGCTCTAAAGTCTCCATTTTCCTTCTTAAATCAGGTGCCTAAAGTCTGTCTAAATTGTTAACTTAAGTCTTCTCTCAAAAACTTAAAATAACAACTAAATCCTCAACATATTTACATAAAACCTTATAATAAAAAACATACAATATAATTCATCATTAAATCAATATAATAGAGATAAAATATCATATTAAATAATCATAATAAATATCATTTTGTCTTTCATAAATTTAACATATTGAGTTCCCACGTCGAACTAATTATACTGTACATTAAAATTGAAAACTCAATTAGTCAATTTATATGCTCAATAAAATCATATAATAATTGTAATAATAAAATGTAATGCCAATAAATAACATTAAAGATAAATGCTAAATATAATGCATAATTTTAATTTATTAAATTTAATTATTATTAACTGCTTAATTAAATCTCGGATATTACCATAATTATCTTTTTCCAAACTATCTCGCTAAAATCCAAATGTATCCCACTTAAACATCATTTTCCTACAACCATCTCAAAAACTATTTCTCATATTCATACTCTCACTACAACCATCTCAAATACTATTTCTCATATGCATACTCTAAATAATTCATCGTCTAATTTTCACTACTGAAATATTTTGACCTACATGATTTCTTTTTTTTTATCACTAATCTACACTCAAATAACCTAATTTTTTAAGAAACTTTATCTCCTTGTATTTAAAAAAAGAATCAACAAAATAATTCTTACATACATAACACGTGTATAATAAAAGAGAAATAAAAGAAAGAAATTAGTACAGAGGGGATAAAAAAAAAAAACATTAAAGTGGCCTTATACCGTTAAAGTGACTAATTTGCCCTTTGCCACTCTATAAAGAGCAGTTCCAAAATGGATTGCAGTTCATGTGAAGATGGGGACAGGGTGGTCACAAGAAGACCATCCTCAGTCACAACAAAACAGAGAAGAGAGTGAAAGTTCAGAAAACGCAACAGAAGGAAAGCCAGTGTGCCATTGCAACGCATCAGAAAAAAGGTCCAATGGCGACAACAAAGCGGCGGAATCTGCGAAAACGGCACCGGAAAACATACATAACTTTGACGGCATTATGCAAGATGCAGATTTTGCCATAGACCGGATCTCCAGGGACAAGCTATTCACTCAACTCCAACATGGGATACTCTTGAACCAAAACAGGAAGGCAAGTCTAATATCAAATTTGATGTAATTTTTGTGAGAGCTATAACCGTAACAAAATTAAAATTAAAAATTCGAATCAATAAAATGAACGGGACCTAAATTTAGCTTTTACCACAGATAAAGCAGTAATTAAATGATATTTGTTATAATTGTCTTCATCGAATTTTCTTATCTTTGGCAGAAGTATTGGGTTGACAAGATGGGCAAGAATTGCTTTATGCTTTATGCAAGAGATCTCTCAATTACTTGGAGTGAGAATAACAATTACTGGATATGGCGCCAGCTGAAAGATGCAAGGTATATATCACTTCTGTGATTAGAGGCAATATGGTTTTTCAACCTTGGTTTTTCATTATCTATAATATTTTGATTCTACAAACTGAAAATGGGCAAAGAGACTAATTAAAAATCACATTGATGCCGATTAATTTCTAACTAAAACAACAAAATGATTACAAGACATTGAGTTCCTGATACTATCACCAGCGGCGAAGATCTGTCAACAATTTCAGCTTAGAAAAATTAGACCATCCGCTAATAAAACAATATTATTTATAGAATACGGTCAGTATTTTTCAAAGCTACCATCCATCAACAAAGTCACAAAAAAAAAAAAAAAAAAAAAAATTATTGGCCTAAATACAAAAAAGAATATATATATATAAAACACTATTTTTTATTATTTGCTTTCTTATTGCTCTCACGTCAGATTATTCCGATAATTAATAATAAACACTGCCAGTCATTATAGTACAGATGTGCACAATAATGATTGTTAGTAATTATAGGGATTACTTGTGGTAATTACTAACATGAAACACAAAAGAAAGTTATAATCAACACTTGTGCTATTTATGTGAGTTTTTTTTTTTTTTTTTTTTTTTAATTAGTGCTACATAAAAAAAATAATAACGACTAAAATTGACTTAATATAGTATTTTATATATTATTGATGCAGCGAAGAGTCCATTGAGACAGCTGAGCTGGTGAACGTATGCTGGCTAGAAGTCCATGGAAAATTTGATACCAAAAAGCTGTCACCCGCAAGTTTATATGAAGTAACATTTGTGGTGATGCTGAAATGTACAGCTCATGGGTGGAAAATTCCAGTGAATGTTGCACTCAATCTCCCAGATGGAAGTAAGCAAGAGCGGAAAGTAAGCATGTTACAGCAGCCAAAAGAACAGTGGATGGAGATCCCGGTAGGCGAGTTTCGAACGTCGCCCGAAATGCTTGGGGAGATCCAAGTCTCCATGTATGAATTTGATGGAGGAAAATGGAAGGGAGGGCTGATCATCAAGGGTGTCAAAATACAACCAAAAACAACATGTTGAGTAATGTGTTTTTGGAGGATGTACTGAAGAGTGAGAATGCACTAAAAAATAGTAGAACAAAAAATATTTAATATTTGATGGTCTCAACTCTCAAGTATCAAAAGCTCTTTAATTTCTCTCGTAAAAAGATATATGGTTATTATATATATTATTCATTTGGGTTCCGTGTTGATTCTCTACAATTTCTTTTGTCCATTGCATTTTATGAATTTTTTCCAACAATATCTTGACCAAACACTTAAACAAAAGATCTTTATATGAAATCAAAGTAACTAGCGTACAATTATAAAAAAAATAAAAAAATAAAAAAAATAAAAAAGTAACTAGCGTACAATCTAGATACGAGGCTTTATACAAGATTAAAACCAAATATCATTTTTACACATTTTCACGTGGTTGTGTTATATATGATAGCCACTTGCGGTCCAGACTGATCTTGCAGTTACCATAAATAGCTCTTAATCACTTGGTATATAAATTTAGGGAGAAAGAGCTAAATGCCATTTTCTGAAAGTATATACAGTAATAGCATGTTTGAAAATATCTCTGTCACATAACATACTAACGGTAAATTATTTATTTACGAAGCATATTTACGGTAAACTTATCTTATAAATTTTCTTCGTAAATGAATCATGTACCGGAAATATACGATTTATCATAAATATCTTAGAATATGTTGTTCACCGTAAATATTTAATTAAAAAAAAATGGCCTATTTGCTATAATTTCACTGTAAATGTATGAATAGTGTTCAGCCCATCCTTGTTCACTCCTACTCATTAAGAATATGATATGGATTTGAACAAATTGATATAGCTACAAATAATACAATCCAAAAAATAATAATAATAAAGTGAAAGCAACATCTATGATTTGACTCTTACAACCACGAACTTATTCAACGCTAGCCAGAACAAATGTGTTTTTATTTTGTTTTGAAAACATGATAAGTTGGCATTTTGCAAGTTACAATAGACCGATTCTGAGCAATCAGGATATTGACTCTTAAACTGGAGGAACCAATTCTTTTTCAGCCTGGATCAAGTGTGCTCCTCAAGTTCTTTATACAAGTAGACAAGAGATGGAGATCAGGGGAAGAATTACGAGAGTCGGCGAGGAGAGAATGAAAACATTTGTCATGCAAGAGAGACCAAGGACCGATTTGTTGAGCGGATGTTCATAGCGTGTTGTTAAGCGAAAAAAGCACCCTTTGCCGCATCAAAGGTCTGTGGTGTAGTTCTCAGGCTTGAACCACAATGAGTGTTCAAAATTTTCACTCTTCAATTTCTCTGTTGCAGGGGCAATCTTCTCCAAAAGCTGCATTTCACAAACAAATTAGAGTAATTTTGAAAGGGAATCCCAATCATAAAGTCACCCTCTACTTTGTTTCCCTTCTTTATCCAAGCCCACCTTATCCTCATTTTTCAGCATACCTACAAAGTGACACCCTCTCTATCACGTCTCCACATCCAAAGAACGGTTAGCATTGGATAAGACGAAAGTGAAAGAGAATAAGAATGTCATTGAGAAGTTTACCACAACCACTCTAAAAAGGACGAGATCCCGAAGTTAAGGAAAACCACTAAAGTGGACAAGAATGACCCCTAACATGGCTGCTGAAGTGGCTGAGCTCAGAGAAATATTTGCCCCTTGGTTGCTATGTATAGGAGGGATAAAGCCCTGCTTTTGCAGTCTTTTTTCAGAGGGGCAAGTATTCATACTGAATGTAATTTCCCACCATGGTTTGGATGTGGAGATTGGAGGAGAAAAGAGTGTGTGTGTGCGTGTGTGTGTGCGCGCGCGCGCGTGAGAGAGAGAGAGAGAATTTTTAAATTTGACTTATCCTCCAGAGTAAGCAGTAATGTGGGCTTGGATAAGGGGGGAGATGGTAGATGTCATGCTATAATTGGAACACACTTTGAAAATTTATCCAATTGATTAACGCCTGACCAATAAAAGGAATAGATTAAACACAATTTTAAAAACTTGATGCAATTCTTTAATCATCACAAGAAAATGATTGCCATTTTTGCCAAAACCTTAAACTACAGGGAAAGTGTGAATATCTGAAACAAAAACAAAAAAATGTTGGTACTTGATACTTTAAACAAGGAGAAATGACTAACCCTGGCATGCAATGCACCGTTGGATACCAAGACAGACCTATCAAATACACAAAACTTTCCACCATCCATGCGAGTAATTGCTCCACCAGCTTCTTCAACAATCTGTTCAAAAATGAAAGAAACAAAACGAATAATTTAAAGCTTTTGAAACATCCACCAAAATACACTGGAAGAATATGTCTATACGTTTCTTTGTAGGTGCTAAAGAACAAAATAAAGCACTCTTGTCGCAAGAATTGAAAAAATGAAAGACCCAGGGTACCAAAGAGAATGTGTTTGTGGAGAGAAAAGGTAAAGAAAATAAATAATGATTACCAAAACACCAGCAGCCATATCCCATGGCTTCAGACGATATTCCCAATATGCTTCAACAATCCCTAGAGCGACATGGCACATGTCTACTGCAGCGGCACCAAGTCTTCTCACACCCTAATATTAAAAACAGAAATGATAAAGAAAATCAAATTATGCATATGGGTGTGTTGTATAAAAATGAGAGATGAAAATAGATAGAGAAATATTTATCACTGAAAAAAAAATAATAATGAAGATAGCATATCCATTAATACCCTGCTAATATCAGTGAATTCTTTAAATAACTCCATGTTTGTGGCCCATGCATGATCATGTTCGTAGCCAAACCCAGTAACTAGAAGAGAACGCTCCACCTTAAAAGGAAGAAGAAGATGGGTTGCAATAAGATTAGAAAACAACTAAATGAATGCAAAAAAAAAAAAAAAAAAGAAAAAAAAAAAAAAAAAGGCATATCCACAGTTAAATTCTGCTCTATACAAATTGTGAAATGTACTTTTCCTCTCAAATTTTCATCAGATCACACAATCCCCCCTACTTCGTATTGTCATGTCCCTTACTAAATGAGGTTCGTCCACCCCAAAGAAGTTATTGAAAAAGAAAAATCCCTAGCTTTCAACAGTCAAAACTCAGAACCCAAAAAAGCCCAAAACTTAATTCAATCAACTAACTACTATCTTATCATCAAGTTTATCTACAGAAATACAGCATAGACATTTCTTCCCGCAAAATCTTACCACAAATAAGTCCAGAAATCTCATAATGAACTATGTCAATTTAGTTCGTCGAGAAAATTATACCACAACTCCAATGCTAGCTCACAATGAAGAAAAAAGAATTCCAGACTTTCTTCAGAGTTTTGACATATGACATACAACGAAGAAGACGATTGAATTTGGTTTCCATTGGGTGCTAGCACAAAGAAAAAATGACCTGATTAGTTTGGTGGGGAGGAATAAGGATTGCAAAAAATTTTGGAATGGGGTTATACATACTTACTAGGGCAATATGGCTTGAAAGGAATAAATGGATTTTTGATGATGGTGAGGACAGGGAGCATGAGAAGATTTGGGAGAGAGAGATAAACTTCTGGTCAGCTCTTACAGTTGAGAGTTCGAGGGGTTTTCTTTTCTGATTTATTACGGGATTTGAATTCCTTTTTGAGAGATCAGGCTTAGTTCGACATCTCTATAGTTTTGGTCTGGTGCTTGTGATCACCAATTCTTTTATCTTTTTTTATTTGTCAATGAATTGTAGTTTCTTATCAAAAGAAAAAAGGAAAAGGAAAAGAAATGACACACCACGAATCAGACAATAGAATAGAGATTTCTCCTTTGCAGCATATTAAAAGTATTAGTCTGTGAAAGTTATACGTTAACAATTCTACGATAGATTTGATCTTTCAAATAAGGGGGTTTCAGTGAAATGTGTTGTCAATCAACGAACGGAACTATGGTTCAAATTGGAAGAGAGAAAAAAAAAAACTGAGAAATCGAACCCCACCGAAGCAGTTTCTTTAAATAGATTCTTGGTAATACAACCATCTCCTTTTAACAGAAACCCCATTCTCAAACCATGTCTGCTGCCATTTAGGTCACGAAAAACTAGAACATTCTGGAAGATCGAAAATCAAGGATTAGAATCATTTTTTCCCTATTCCCAATAGTACAAATTTATAGAGGTTTTACTGTACATTATGAGTCTGCATATATGATAAAAGGTAAGGACACTGAGAAAAATCACAATTCAAAGCATCTTCTCAGGAGTCAGGACAAAGCCCAGAACCATCCCCAGGAACTAATTTAATGAGCCAACAAGTTTTGAATACCTTGGGAAATGAATCTCTATAGACTTGTAAAAGAATATCCAAACAACAATGTATAGACTCATTTGGTTGAAGACTGTATTTTCTTCAATGACCATAACCAGAAAGAATCTTGTTCCAAAATAAGCCTTCACAACCACATCCCAAAAATGCTATCTTTTTTCCCTTGATTTACCAAATCCCAAACTCCCTTTATACTTCCATTACCACTGGATACCAAGCTAGTAAGTATCTTTTGAGCCATTATATTTTCCCTTGCACAAAAAGTTTCTCAGCATCCACTCCAGACGAAAGGTACTCAAAATGCAGAAAAGAGGAGAGTAAATAGGCACCCTTGTGAAAATAAATCTTTTCATATAATATCATTTAACCTTCAAGTTGATTTTCTTTTTTTCTTTTTGAATTTCCCAATGCCACAATCTTATTACTTGCATTCTATAATTCAAACTAAAATTAAGAAAACTAAAGACATGGAAGCAAAAAAATCGCAACTACTAAGGTAAAGATATCAAAATCCAAATAATCATCTCTGTTCAAGAGAGACCAACCTGCTCTGTTTGACTCACATGAATCTTTTTGCCATTACAGAATGCTCCCCCACCTAAGATAAGAAAGATCAACTCTCCAATCTTAGGTACATGATCAAGTTGAAACTCAAATAAGGAAGGAGATGCAACTAGTTTGATCTAACTTTCTCACCAGCAGTAGCAGAAAATGTGCGTGTATTCCAACACATTGGGCCCCCAACAAACTCTACCTGAGAAAAATAAAATAAAATAACCTGTTTTCTATTTCGCAGGGGAAAAGAATTATATGCTAAGCTTTGCATCAGTAACTTAAAGTATATCCACGTTATCTCGTATTAGAAAACGAGGCAGATATGCTATCCTTTGTTTTTTTTTTTTTCCTGCCCCTTTTCCAACAAGAATTTCTCTCCATGATTTAATGTCTTTTGTGTCACTAGTTCAAGGATTGCAATACTGATCTTAATTCTAAAGCGTGAGAAGCTTACAACAACATAGGTGTTGTTAAATAAGCATCCAAGCATCTCTCGACTTCATAATTGGTAGTCGCTGGTATTGAGGGGGGGAAAAAAAGCCCATGTTGTATTTTTCTGTAAGAAGGTTTTAGACTGTTTCTTCTGCACATTAAAATTAAAAAAAAAAAGGGGGGTGGGGGGTGGGGTTGGGGGTTCAGAAAAGAGAATGTAGGTACCCTTTTGTTTACATAGCCAGCATTCACATTTGGAAAGAGAAATCTTCTAAGAGAAAGGTGATAGATACAAATTACTCTCGAAACAGATAAACCATCTTTTTAACCTCTTGAATCCATATTTGTAACTTGATTTAATATTCCATTCAATGCCTCCTCTTGCTAGTATCAACTTCAATAAAATAATGCCACAAGACAGAATCGTGCAGTCATATCCACAAGCAAACTAACACGTATGCACTCACACAAATGATGTAGGAAGAATAATCTGAAATCAATAGATTAGTACCACAGATGCAGCAGCAGGTTTTCCTCGAAACAGGACTCCTACAGAAACAGCAAAGGAAGGATAACAGTGTGCGAAATTTGTTGTCCCATCTACAAGTATTTGAAAGGTCAGATAACCACAGTTCCACAAAATTTATATACATTTATTTTCGTGACAAGCCCACGATGCTTTTTGTTTATAATATCTCTCATGCAGGACCAAGATAGATTAAAGAAAGAGAGAGAAAGAGAAGGAAGAGAAGAATTGAGGGAAGAAGCAGAAGAATTTAGAGAGAAGAGACAATAAAAGAGAGGAAATGTTTGAACTCAGTAAGAATCATGAAAGTTTGATAAAGTAAACCGTTCATACAAACTCAAATAAATCCTAGTAGATAAACATGAAATAAAATAACTTAAATATAACTCAAATTCTAAATAACTATTACTTCAAAGATAATTGTAAATCCTATATTTAAATTCCTAATATAATTATCCCTGTTCCCCATCATCTCCCACCGACTATCCATCTTCATAACTATGCATGAGCAGTAATAAGAATACTATTGGTAGATGTCACTTTAAGTAATTATCAAGGATTTGCAAAGTCAACAAGAAAGCCATTTGAGGTTAGCTGCAGTGGTTGCGTGCGTTGTGTGTGCGTGTGTCACCAAGGTAAACTTGGTGATTTCATTCCTTGTTGGTAAAGTGGGAGCCATAAGCTCCACGCCTAATATATATATACATATTCTTAATACATATATATATACACAGACATATATATATATATATAAGGAAAAGTCAACGACAAGTAGAAGCATAAGGAGTATAGACTACATCCTAGAAAGTTAAAACTACAGGTAAAGATGTGGATTATGACAATGAAGAAATAATAGTGCTGAAACTTTAGCCAAAAATTTGAATAAGAAGGCAGAAGCTTCCAAGTTTCAGATAATTATTTTTAGAACAAATTACACTTTTTCCACCCGAACTATAGTCCTTGCTACAAAATGCTCCCAAACTTTAATTTTAGCCTTTTTTCCCCGAACTTCAACAACTCTTGCAAATTTTCCCCCTCAACTAAATTTTTGGCGGAAAATGCCACGTGAAATACAAAAACTAACAAAAAAACTCTTTACTAAGATTTTTAACATAAATAACACGTATCAAACAAATAATGGTGTCGTTGAACCATTTCTAGTACACAATTAGTTCGGGGGGGGGGGGGAACGTGTAATTTGTCTTTATTTTTTATTTTATTTTTTTTGGTTGAATTATTCTTTTTTGCATATAACCGAAAATAATTACCCAAAAACATCGAGTGGAGAGAGACAAACCCAGAGGATCAATGCACCACAAATAATCTGAAGATGAATCTCCTATAATTCCACCCTCCTCCCCAAGAACAAGGTGATCTCCAAAGTTCTTGTTCACAACATCCAAAATTGCAGCCTCACTCATTTTGTCTGTACTGCAAATATATTTTCATAGATGTGTAAATTTGCATGGGAAGCTATATTTTAAGGAAAAAGAGCCAAAAACACATAATGAAAGCTTAAACAACGAAGTAAACTACTACCAGAATGCGTAAAAATTAATCCATGTAATGCCAGCAAATAAAAATAAAGCAGAAGATTTAGCATAGATTAAAAAAAATGATAGAATATGATACTCCTAGTCTCCTAATTAACTGACTATAATTTGATAGCATAACTCCCAAATTTCTGTGTCTGTGTTTCAAATAGAGAGAGGTTTCTATGTTAGTAACATAATACTAGAAAATTACATGGATTTTTGTATCTCCAAGTTTCCACCTTCCAATTCATTGTTTGGGATAATATGGACCCCATTTCACCTCAACTAAATAGCAGCGTATTAAATCAGGAAATAGGAACCATTACAGAACATGTATTGTTTGATAAACTAAGGGAAAATTTGTTTCCTGGAATTGGGAGATCATTGTGTTAAATAAAGGTAACTTCAAAGGAACGGAACAAAGTTTGATCAAAATGAGAAAACGAAAACCTATTGAAAGTGAAAATACATTCAAAGAGCATGCTCAAGATAAAATGTCGGGCGTGTAAATTCTGTCTGTTCTACCGTAACATACAAAGTATAAAACCTCCACTTTATTCAACTAAAACAAATATCATAAATATACATCCTAAAATAAGTGATTTGCAATAGTTCTCACTCAGTAACTAAATCAGTTACTCCTTTGTAGGAAATATTTTGAGGCTTGTTAACGGCTTCCATAACAACCTGAAAAGAATACAAAAATGAAAGGTAGAATGGAAACAATTAAGAAAAATTCATAGAAACTAAATAGCGAAGAAACTAATGTATCAGAGATATACAACGCATATTGCAGGTTAAGAAATATACTCGTAGTGTCCACACAAATTTTTAATGTACAACATATATTATTAGTGCATATGCTTGTGCGTGTACACACACCATGATTGTATGCACGTACATTTTTGCTAGTAAATCTTCGGCATAACATTTCATCAATTACTTTAACTGTGTTTGGTGAGAGGGAAAGAAAATAAGAAGCTTAGGTGAAGAAAATGGAGAGGAAGGAGGACCTTTCTCTTATAGAGAGATATTATAATTGGAGATCTTTGAAGGATTTAAATCCCTCACCGAATCCATTTCCTTTTCTTTTCTCTCCTACCAAACAACCATGGTCCCAAAATCTTCCACTAATTCCCTTACACTATTCCTTCCTTTCACTTTTCCCTATTACCAAACGAGCTCAATGGTGAAGGTCCCAGCATTGAATGATCGTATGAGCTTTACACTATTTCATTGTGTATAAAATATAAATTGGTATTGAAAGAAACGACTATTGACTAATTAAAAAAGAGTGATAGTTCAGAAACCTCCACAAGTTCATCACTCAAGTGACAAATTTGGAGTTATTATCACTAATTTAAGGATGGAAACCAATTTTTCAGGGGTGACTCATGCAAGTCAACTCCAAATGCAAGATAAAATGCAGGTCGAGCTATATATATATATATATAT